TAGCTTCTACATAAGAACTCGAATAACTTTGAAGTATTGAACGAAACTGATGAAGTATTCTGGGATCATCTTTTACTTTGTAAGACAGTATCTATTGGATTGATTGAAAGGTTTCTTTTCTTTCTTTGAGAAAGAAGAAGGAAGTAATCAGTTGTTTCCATTGAAACTGATTAGTGTTCCATAACCTTCAATGACATTGCTACTTCTGATTATTTTCTCTCTGACGATTCATTTGCCTCATTGGCATAGAATCTTCCATTTCTGTTATTAAAGTATTCGTTTGGTACCTTTATAACCTGATTTCTACTACGGAATTATTTTCTACTGATTACTGATTAAAATGCTCCTTGTCACAGAACAGATTATAGTCTTTTATATTTAATTTGTTTCAGTGTCTGCGAGTCCATAATATCAAATTTATATCACAGTATGGGAAAATAATATTTTATATTTCGTATGACATTAAAAAATATAGAATTTCCTTTCTGGGTATTGCATAAAAGCTTACACGTTCGTTTACTCGCCTTTTGTTTATGCACAGATGCATTTCCTCTGTTTACTCCCTGCCTAATTACGTAGAAAGGAAAGCAAGAGAAAATTAGTTTCGCGTTTAACCCGTTGTATTCGACGAAAATAACCTGTGCTAACCTCATTCAAATCCTCAGACAAAGGTACCAAACTGTCAGACCAGTCCAATACCTCTGTAATTTTTTGAATAATAATTAAAAAATAAACATAACGAATAACACCGATTGCTAACACTCGTAACGATCGTTTGGAGCTATAAAATTGACTCTGGTGAAATAAATTCAGGAGAACTGGATAAATTAACCTAACAAGTACGAAACTGGAAACAGCGAGTTAGAGCCATCGCGTGCATCCAATGAAACGGATCAGCGAAATTGATGCATCCGCAGGATAAATAAACGAATGGTTCACGTGGTGGTGAACATAGCCTTCCTTTCGTCATCGGAATGGAGGTGTAGGTGACAGATACGACGAAATTGATATCGTTTTTAATATATTCGCTGTCCGCTGCAGGCTGTTGCGTTCCGGCTGAGTAACGGCATTATAGATTTGCGGTGCGCCTCTTTCCCACGTCTGTCTCACCGCTTCCGGCATACCGTGTACATACCAGCAATAGCACTCCATCAGAATTCATGGCTATAAATATTGTCGTCCATAATATTCCCGTGAGACGATTTTTAAACGAGACAAGAGAATCGCATTCCTCGTATTGGTCTTTATTGTTTGATAAACGATCCAAGATAGATGCCTATTAGCGCTAGAGCCGACAAATTGGTCGGAGTGATCTTGGAATTTTTCTTTCTCTTCAAATATAAGCCTCGAGTTTTGTCTCGTCCTTTTGCGTTTTGCAATGTTGCTTGGATGTTGGTGTTCCAAGTCGTTAATGATCTGAGACCAAATGGTTAAGGAGGAAGCAACCGGTGTCTCTAAGATGAGTCTGCGACTTATGGCGGAAAAGGCAACGTGATTAATAAATTTAAATCCTGACGGGGACTAATTTACTTCGAATAAGGAATTGACATTACGTAACATTGACAGCTTATTCGGGAAAGTTGTTACTTTATTTTTAAGGACGCTCTTGGAGAATTGTACTCAGGGTACTATCGTTCGAACTTTCCTGATTTCTAAAACTTATGTAAAATACACTGCGTGTATTTTTAGCTTGATAAACTGACTCGTTGAATAAGTGGAATTAACATAAAATTTATTGGGCTAACTCAACAATAAAATTACTAAACTAGTCAAAATAACTGACTTTACGTTCCTTGTTGTTTGTTTCTCTATGCAAGTATAATAAGAAAAAATAAATAAAGATTTCGAATCAAATTAGTATGATTATAAATTCGATTTTCGATTAATATAAATCACCTGCTTTCAAGAAAGGTGGACATTTCGAAATGAGGGTATTAATTAACTCTAAAAGTGACGACGTGAAATAATAAACAGTTTACGTAAACAGAACAGATATCAATTTTGCTGATCCATCATTTTATCGCACTAGCCGGAAATCCATTATTATTCCCTTCGTCTTATAATCTTTTTCTATTTAGAAAATATCCTATATTCCTCTATATTCCTATAGAATATAGAAAATACTGACCCAAAACACTTTCATTGATATTATACATTTATTACTTATATTATACTCAAATAATCATTGAAGTATGTATAAAATTATCAAAATTAATGTTATTAATATTAAATAATAATATTAATATTATCACTAAGATATATATCTAGAAAAATTGGTTTTCTCGTATCAGTGACAGAAAATACCGTAATATCTGATCACGTCTGTTGATCTTTCAACCATAAAATTTCACACGTGTCAGATTTCGCTGAATTGCCTCTAATTGACGTCATTAATCGGCGCGAGTAGCAAAGAAGCGATGGATCACAGCTGTACAAAGAACGCTTTTCGCGAAGTCACGAATTCACGATTTCGAAACTTGGCTTCGAAACACCGAAAATCACGGTTGGCCTTAAAAAACAACTACGGTTCGATAAATTATATGGAAGGTCTGCTGCCTTCCGGTGCTAGAACTTTCTATTTGGAAATTTGCCAGTAGGTTGTAACGGGAACGTTCAAATCGCGCGACTTGTTGCGACGCTTTTCTTTTTCCTCATTTTTACCCGTTATAAGTCATCGCATCGTTGACGAAGGTACGCGTGAAATCTGAAATTGTTTGTTATGGGAAACATCGCTTCGATCACCGTTATGGTACAGAATGTATGGTACCGCTATACGATAATAATAGAAGATTTGGTTTCGTTCACGGTGTACATTTACACATAATTGTTCATACGGTTTCGTTTTTATGGTTATGTACCTTCTTAGTACGTGTTATAGAAACACATTTGAAGTTTTATACTGCGTTAATGTGTTTTTACGCGAGGTTAAATTTGAGAGTATGATTGGGTTTGAATGTGAGGCAGTAGTGAAATCAGGATATCATGGTGGAGTTAATTTCTTGCAGCATTTGGAATTTTTACCGATAATATGGTTTTGGACTGAAAAATTAAAGAATACTGAATTTAGATGATTAAAAATGTACGTAGTATTCAATTGTAAAATTAAAATAGCATGTATTAATGTAATATGGAACTGGAAAAAATATATCATCGAATTTCATGAAAATTAAAAAAGAAGAAAATGGTATTAAGTAACATGAAAATGAAAAGAGTATCGTATTTAATTACACTAAAGTAGGAAATGTGGTATTAAATTTCACGCAAATAAGAGGAATTGTGTTGTCGATTTAAATAAAAATGAAAAGTACAGTATGAAATGGAAAAATATCTTTCAAGCAAATGGTACACGAAACTAATCGAAACCTTGTTTATAAAATATTTTTCAGACCTCTGTTTTAATAGTCTGCTTTAAATTTCTATATTTACAATGAAAATTTTTCTCTCAATTTATATTTCGAATTTTCGAATAAAATATCCTTTCCAAATTATTTCTGGAGATGCATCCAGAGCTATACTGCTCGATTACGTAATGGCTACTGGAAATTGATGTTGCGAATGTTCCAAATTTAAATGACCCTTTCATTAACCTACATATAAGAGGGTCCGTATATCTGATGCTGCAAAATATGAAATACGAGATATTCGATAACCTCAAGAATTTATAAAATTCTAATGTTTAATTGGAAGAAACGAGAAATAATTGAAAATATGTAGTTAAATTCAAGGGCTTTCTATAATTTTTCGTAATTAAAATGAATAATTTACGATATATATAGAAATGACTTTGCGATTTTAACTACTTTCCGTATTAATTTGTAATTTATTAAGAAACAGTTACGACGACGGCAAAAATTGATATTTCCATCGCAAAAATGGTAATTCGCGAATTTAACGTGGCAGCACCGAATGACACGAGAGCCCACATACCGTATTTCATGCTGACGTCAATCATAATTTACTTCTAAACCACACGTTCCTGTGTCATTTGACCTACCTTCGTGTAACCATAATCATCCTTGATCGATGATTATGGTAGCTAGGATTCTCGCACGGCATACAACATCTTACGTTCATTGGCAAATTTATGGCACAATCTGACACATGTCTAGTTCTTTTCGTAAACAGAAGGGCAAATATTAATTCCGCGATGTTCGATATTCGTAATGACAAATTACTATAATATTTTACCTTCGTTTATTAATATTTACTGGATGGCCTGCATTTGTTAATATCGAATATTCTGAATATTTTGAGAAATAACATGTTATGTATAATTCACAATTCCGTTTCCACAAGAATAGGGATTTGGATAATTATTTACATATTAAATAATTAAATTGTTATTAATCATCAAAATTTAATCATAAATTTAAATTGTTTACAAATAACTAAATAACAATTTTATTATTTCTATGTGTAATTTAATTTGGTGCATTAAAAATAAATTTTCATTTTGTTCTAAATTCTTCGCTAATAATTTATCGTAATCTATCGAAGTTTCAAAATGTATGTACTAGTTAGATACTACCATTTAATAATGAAATTAATCTTCGGAAATTTTGATCATAATAAAATTCTCTGATGATCAGAGACATAGTTTATCAAGAAAGATAATTATCTCACTGTACAGTCAGGGTTCGCTGTAGACTAAACATACGCGTACAATATCGATTAAAAGTATACGACCATAGCTTTCTAAACTCTACTTTCATTCCAGTATTGTATTTAATTCTATTTAATTCTGAATGATATCAGGGTACCACACAATTTTCTGTATCGAATCGGTCAAAATTTCAAAATTATTTCTATCAAACTTGGATAAACTGTGAAATCAAATTTACTTTTAGGTATCCACTTTTCAGTTTATAAAGTAACATGAATCTGAGAATGAAATACTTATCCATAATGTAATTTTTTTCTGTCTTTTTGCAATCGTATTAATTTATATTTTCGTTTATATTTATGGAACACGTATTAACGATATTAATTTTTCTGTTCAGGTCACGTATTCGGCGGATCTCGCAATCGAGATACCAGGAAACTTGAGCCAGGGAGGTTCTTGGTATCGTTTGGACTACAGCCCCCCTGTTGGTTATCCACCACCAAATACCACTATCGCCGCTACCGACATCGGTGATGTGATCAAGTTCAGGGACGGGCTTCCTGGCACTAGATATGAATTTTGGTTGTACTATAGTAATAGCACTCTTCATGATTGGCTCACATGGACTGCGTCCATAACCACAGGTGTCGTAAACTTCGCTCGTGATACATGTTTGATATGAGAAGTAGCATATCAGTCGAGAGTTACATACATCTATCTCATAAATCGAAAAATGGAGGAGAAGTAGGGAAAAGTTGTTACTTTTTCAGATACGTGAAAATGAGGTATTGAATTCTCCAGAAAAATTGTAGAATAATCGTGTTTTTAAATAGAGAAATTTACAAGAAAAGTTACTTGAATTACATGGAAAATTATTTGAAGAACAGAGTTCAATTCGTGAAATTATAGTAATATTTCTAATAGATATGGAGGTTTAAAAATCTTGAAAAATTTCAAGCTAGTATGATACAAAATATCATTTATTTTATTCTTAATACTTTTTATATGGTTAATATTATGTCTCATATTATTACTTTTATATTCTTAGTTATTAACCCTTTGCACTCGACGATTTTTTGGCTAGAGAAGAGTAGAAAATCAAAGATTCTCTATTAAAAAACTGACAATACTTTTTTGAGCAGTAATTAAAGAATTTTATAATAATAGAATTGTAGAATTATTTGACTTTGATACCTCGCAAACTGTTACATTACATTAAATTTGATATATTAATTAATATCGATCTTCCAAATTTTATGAAATGGTGACTGAAGCTCACCTCTCGAGTGCAGAGGGTTAATATTGTAAATCCTTTGCACTCGACTGGTACCACCACAAAGATATCAGTAATTTGCAATTTGTTATTCGTAATATATCTCGAAATTTCATATAACATATCTCAATTGAACGTAAACATAATTTTGAATTTTTCATCAATTCCCGCGCAAAGTTACTTTAGATGTAATACACTCACCGTTAAAAATATCACAGCGCATTGAAGTATCGAGCCAATTCATTTAAAAGATCGGCTGCAAAGGATTAATATTCAGAATTATCTCCCTGAACTCTTGTCAGTTTAATTTCTCGAATTCCCGCTCAAAATTGCATCAGCGAGAATGTTTTAATTACGCCTTATCACTATCGCCTCTAATTAAAGTCGTCGGTAAATTAATTTCAAATTGCAAGGGGTTAATATCTCGTTGCAATTAACTCCGTTAATTCAATTTAATTTGAATATCATTTCAAATTCCTTCCCGCGAAAAATTGTCCCGAAGGCAATATTATTGCATAATAGGGCGAACGTTAAAAATATCAGGGCGCATTAAAACTTCTAACGAGCTCCATTCTTAATCACGCTCTTACTTCACCCTCTAGCCCAATGGCAAATTACTTGCAATAAGCGCAGGGAACAGGAGGCATTGAATGAAACTGAATGCGGTTCGTTTTGCAGCCCCGGATCCGCCCTCGAACCTCACCGTCTCGGTGCGAAATGGAAAGACCGCGATAGTCTATTGGGCGCCGCCAGCCCAGGGCAATTATTCGGGCTTCCGGCTAAGGGTGCAAAGTTTCAGCGACACCGGAAATCCAAAAACCAGTGTCATCCCTGCGGACGCGGTGCCCTACGTGCTGCGTGATCTCATACCCGGGGCGACATACTCCCTTCAACTTTTTACCGTATTAGACACCAAAGAAAGCGTGGCCTACACCAGCAGGA